TCGTTTTTGGCACTAGAGCCTTTATACGCGCCTCCATGAACCCGAATTTGGCCACACAGTTACAAATTCCTGGACCGCGCCTGTAGTTTATTGTATTCTAAATATATATACATATTACATTTACCTCTTCTTTAAAAGAGCTAAACTTATTTGTAGATAACTTAAAAAGTAAATGGTAAACCTTTAAGAAACTTTTTTTATGAAATTTTTCTATAAAAAAGTGTTGAGAGATTCTCGCCAATTATCTTGGATTCAATGGCTGCCGCGGGTTTTGTGCAAACACGCACAAATGACCATAAATACTACTATTAAATTCAACAATAATATATAGTGATTCTTTGTTCATACTTTAAAATATTGTCGTTTTTTTTTTTGTTGTTGTTGTTTTGTTTTTTATTTATTATTTTGTCAAGCAACCATTTACAATTAAAGGTAATTTTCGATAAAATATTTAAAAATGGTAATAAAAAGGAAAATAAAAGTGTATTGTTAAAAAAAAATCATGTAAAAAATCTTGATTTGCAATAAGTTCGATTATGTTCTTTTTAAATTTTTGAGAGGTATTGGCTTCTTTAAGTTTACAACTCAGACTTGTAAAATGGTTCCATAGCGTTGGGCCACGATAGGAAATGGCAAAGCTTTTAAGTTTTGATGTACGGAAAGGTTTTTTAAATCTTCCGGTAGATCGAGTGTTGTATCTGTTTAATGTTTTAGGGAAAATATTTTCGAAAACTTTCACCGTTTTCTTTTCACTAATGTTGGAACATAAATTGTGTAATTTTGAAAATATTTATTTCATAAATATCATGTGCCCTCATGCTTTTTAGAAAAGGTTTGGCACTTATGAAGCAATTTTGAAAATGAATAATGCGTGCTGCATGCTTCTGTTGTTTAAGAAGACATTCGAGTTTAGATTTATTTTTACTACCCCAAAGAATATTGCCATAAGATAAATAACTATTTATGAATGCAAAATATAGCTGAGTTAGTGTAGATTTGTTTAAGATTTGTCTGGTTTTATATAAAATGTCAATATTTCTTGAGATTTTATTGCTAATATGTTGTGTTATAAACCTTCTAGCACACTGTATTCAGTAACTAGGAACATAAAGCAGCATATAGAAATAGCACGTACCGTAGAAAAACGAAATTAAATTTAAATTTTTTACAAGTGGTCAAAAAAATTTGAAATTCTTGTTGCAAAGAAATTTATCATTTATTTACTTTTGCCAACATCTTTTTTTTGAATAATAATCTGAACAAATTAAACTGCAATTACTCGATTGTCTATTTTATTTATTCTTTTCAATACGTTCTTTACAATACGTTTCGCAATACCAAAACGCAATTTTCTTACGTGTTATGAAGTTGTAGAGTTATGCAGTTATACAAGTTAGCACTAAGCTCGACATTATTTTCACCAGTTGCTCAAAATTTTTATGTAGTTTTGCACCGCACCAAACATTTAATATTTTGCCCAACTAAAATTTGAGTTTGCGAGAAGGTCTGTTATAAGTCTCTATTTTAGCTTTACGAATGCGGGAAAGGTGCGCATGTTAACTTTTTGCTCTGAAAGTTTTTTTTCAGAACAAAATTATTTTACTAAAAAATATTAAAGTTAATAAGGAATAGTTATAGAAATAATCAGTGTGAAATAAATATGTACAGAAATGGTAGGTTTGGTAAAGACCCGTATTTTACGGATTCGGAGAGATAGGATATTTTTACCGGTCCGATCTTTATTAGTTTATATATAAATATGTGTGTATGTATGCCTTTATTCATATATGTACGTATATACCTGTATATTTATATTTATATATGTGCTTTTGTGTGCATGAACATAAAAGTGTATGTGTATCTTTGTATTTATGTATGTGTAGGTGAATTATGTATGTATTATTAGATGCATATTTGTTTGTGTCAGTGACGGAGCGTGGAATTTTTGGTGTGAGAAATAGCTAACATCGAATAATGGAACAAATTCCAAACATTTGTATGTTTATACTTATTTCAAATAATAAGGCTTTGCAAAAAATTGCAATGATTGGTGGCTGGGAACAAAAAAGCCCTTTGACTTCATCCCCCTCCTCCACCCATATGTGTAGGGCATCAAGGTGGTAAATATTTTTTGTACTATTCTCAACTAGATTTATATTCATCATTAAATTTCATATCTTATAATATTAACTTTCAGCTTTCAATAAATATGACCATATTAAGTTTAAACCCCCCTTAATTTGAGCGGGTTACTAATTTTATTTGGTCATAATTTTTGAACGCCGAAAAATAATATTATGAAATTTATAAAAAGGACTTTTATAATACGTAATGAAGTATTTATCAATTGATGAATTAAAATGTATATTTGCAATAATGAATGAAAATGGCTGAAAGAAATACTGCGTAGACTTTGAATTGAACTTTTAGTTTGTTCTGAAAGACGTTTTTAAAGAACTATAAAAAAAAAAAAATTAAAAATGGCAAAAATTTCAATAAAGCTATTCAAGGAGCCTATTTATTTTCGCAAGAATATACAGTAGTGGCCATTGAATTAAGGCACCTTACGGTTTTAGGATAAATTTAGTATAACTTTGAATGTGCCTCTTAAATACGCAAAGTACTATATGTCAATGTCATTAAATGAATCAAATTAAAATTTTTCGCATATCTTTGTTTAAAAGACGTCATCAAAGCTAATTAAAGTTCTTTTTTTGAAGTAATAGTATATAAATTAAAAAAATTAATATGGGTAAAAAGGCAGAATTGAGTGATTTTGTTAAAGGTCAACTCATAACTTTGCATGATGAAGGGTACTCACAAGATGTCATTAGTAAACGTCTAGAAATATCGAGATGCGCTGTACAAAACGTTATAAAATTGCATGGGAGTTATAGACGTCAAAATTGCCACGGCGTTCGCAAAACTATACCCCGTGATGATCGATACCTGAAAAGTATTGTACAAGCCAGTCCTCACACTTCCTCTACCCGAGTTACCCTATTGGCCATGGAAAGACATTAATATTAGTGTTAGAAGTGTTCGCAGACGTCTGTCTACAGAATTTAAACTGCATGCGCGTAGACCAGCAAAGAATCTATTTCTCACCAAGAAGCAGCTTCAGGCACGTGTGAAATTCTGTCGTGATATTACGGACAAAACTGCTGAGTGGTGGACTACTGTGATGTTTACTGACGAAAGTATTTTCTAGCAGCTTTTTGGTTCAGGGTACAATTATGTTTGTCAACCAGTAGGTGAAAGACTCAACCCTAAACATACTAAGACCGCTAAACATCCGCCATCTGTTATGGTGTGGGGAGCTATCTTAGCTAAGGATAGATGTGGAACCCACATCTTTGGTAAGAGCGAAAAGGTCAATGCTGCAAAATATATACAGGTTTTAGAATCAAAGGTTAAGACACATATGAACATTTCTGAAACTAACTAGTATTGAAAAATTGTGGTTACCCTACGAAATACTAAGATTTTGAGACTTTTTGTTGATGAATTTTAAAAGTAATGCTGCTATATATGTTTTATAATACTAATAGTACATATAATACGATTTCATGAAAGAGAAACTGGACTTGCTTAATTAAAACTGCAATTTTGCTAGGTGCCTTAATTCAATGGCCACTACTCTAATATCAATAAAGTTTAACCATAAAGTAGAACAACTGAGTTTAACCACAAAGTAAAACAACTGAGTACCATCAATAAAACTTAAAATTTGAAGTGTACCGTAAAAAATTAAATAAAACATAAAACTATATAAAAATAAAAAAATAAAACTTAAAATTTGAAGTGTACTGTAAAAATCGATAAAATTTATATCTAAAAAGTATGATATTTTGACAAAGATTTTATAACTCTTTTAAATTCAAAAAGTATAAAAAGAAAAAGAAAAAGGAGAAAAATATTTGCTTAAAAACTATGACACGAGACATAAACATATATTCACTGGAATCAACTTCTTGTAATTTATTGATAAAAACTCTATTACGAGTATTGGTTTCTGAAATGTTTAAATCTTTAAGAGATTAACGAAATCTAAATGTAGGGAGTAATGATTGCCAACAGTCTCTAGTTCAATCTAATAATGATCTATGATATGACCAACAACACGTAGAAAATTCGTTTATCACACATTGCAATTTTACAATAATATTATTTTTGACAAAAATGTTTTTTAACAAATAGGATAGATTAAGGTATGAGCACCTTGTTAATATGAGTATACTTAAAGATTTCTAAGGTGTAAGGAGTGATGTTAAAGTTGATTTGTATTTTTTAAATCAACTTTATGTAATGATAACAGGAATCAGTACAACTAGCTTAAATTCATATTCTGTAATTAGCGGCTATCAAAACGTCCTTAAATTTTTTGCTTTGTTAAAATAATATCATCACGCATGAATAAATCTGTGGCGCAAAATTTTAGTGCTAAAATAATGAAACTAACTTTTTCATAAAGAAAAACATGTTAGCTAAAAATCCAATCCATAATAAAATGTTTATTAAAAGAAGTTTGCAAAACAAAAAATATTGGTTAAATGTCGATTTGTTTTGTAAAATTATTTCAAAAAATGACGCTAAAAATCCCAACTCGCATAGAATTTCAGTAACTGACGGCAGTGCCGGATCAAGGGGGCTAGGGTGGGGGTAATAGCCCCAAGCCCGCCCCCAAAAATTTTAGAAGACTTTTTTTAGTCATTTTTAGGCTCAGACCCATAAAAGACCCCCAAGAACAAAAAGTAGCCCCAGGCCCCAAGAAGTCTTAAAACGCCACTGACTGACGGCACCTTTTATCTAAAAAAATGCGTCCATCTGTTTATACGTCCTTGGTCCTAATGAATAAAAGTTTTTAAAGAAAAAAACTAATAACTTTTATTAACTAACATTTCCTAAAATATGTTTATAAAACAAACAAAAACAATTTGTAAAGTCTAACGCGTAAAAAAATAAAATGTTTATTTTAAGAAATAAAAAACAATAAAATATAGAGGCAAATTTTTATATTAAAAAATCAAATAAAAGTAAACAACAATTTTATAAGGTAATCTAGTATAATGTTTAATACATTATATCCTCCCAGCTGCTTGAGCTGAGAGGATACCATATCCTCCCAGATTAATATCATGACTAATTCATATTTATTTTACATATTGCTTGCAGTCGTTTCATCGCATGCATTTTATAAGAGCACTGTTTGGATTTCCCAATCTTGACATAAATTTATCACATTTCGGACTGCAACAATATTCTCCTCCTAAAGAAAAAAAAATGATTACACACTAAGACTCTGTAAAACAGGCAAACACTAAATAAAACGAAAAATACGGGTAAATTGATTACGTATGCATTTTATGAATTCTTGCAACAAATCCAACTAAACCTATTTGATGCAGATGCAAGACAGTTATCAGCTGCAAGACAGATTAGAAAATTTAAGATCTGTGTCTGTATCTGATGTGTTAACGACAACTAACACGTTAACTTAGTATTAACTTATTATTGATTATCTAAATATAATTTCATTGAAAACTGTCATGATAAAGTACCAATATAAATTATAACACAAATGTTAGTTATATCAATCAAAGCCTCCGAAAAAAAGCGCTCTCTATTAAAAAGCTTTTTTATTGTCAATTTTTGACAAAAAAATATTTTGACATAAAGTTAACAATTGCTTGAGTTCATATGATATTTTCAATAGTTTGCTGGAGTAACAAGCATTTTTTCTGAGAGTAACTATCAACAACTGCTCAGTTGTTTGGTTACAGATTTTTATTTACGAACATAAGTAACTTTTTGCTGTCACTTTCAAACGAGGTTTCGACTAAGTTTTCAGACAGAAGAAAAACGTCCAATGGAGGATGTCACACGATCTTCGTGAATCTCACGTCACACGATCACACGATCACACGATCACACGTCACACGATCCTCCATTGGACTTAACGTCCAATGGAGGAATAACATCCCGTGGATCTTTAACATATTTTTGGATCCTTTTTTAAATAGACTCCATTGTTTGTGTAAAAAAAGGTTAACTAAACCTACTATTCGAGCAGATACTGTCTCTAGACTAAGTCTCAGACTCTTGTCTCTAGACTAAGCCTCAGACTCCTGCGAAATTCTATGAAAATCATATTTCAAGAAAAGAAATTTTACTTATTATAGTGTTTCTTAATAACTTTGCAAAAACAAACGCTGGATGTTTTTTATCAAATTAAATACAATAATTTTATAAATATCCGGTGACAATTTTTTAAGCAATAAAAAAAAACTGTGCAAAAAAAATCCTGCTCTTTTTGAACTTAGATTTGTATAAGCGTTCTCATTTACTACCATCTTAAATTCTTTAAGGCCAATACATCATGGCATTAAAATACATTCTTTAGAAGCACAAAACATCCCAACGGGGATTTGTTTTTAAAAGTTATGTAGTTTTTAAAAACTAGTTAGGATCTATTATGGGCAAGCATACGCCCATAATACGCCCATATACGAGTAATACGCCCATATTACGCCCATATACGAGTTTTGACATTTATACGTTAAATACTGATTTTATAAATTAATTTTAAAAACAAAAAACAATATTTAAGGTCAAAAAACAATACCATCCACTGATTAGTTTAAGTCTTTTTTTTTTTTTTTAATATTGATTATTAATACAAAATTTATTTATATACTCTTTCATGTAATTTTTCATTCAAACGCAATTGAACGTTTATGGAAAATTTAGTAATTTCTTGCAGTTTAAAATTTTAATTTTAAGTTGGTAAATAAGCTCTATATAAGTATATAGGAGTTAGTTCGTGTGGTCGACTAACTCATTTAAAGTCTCTCAAAAGGAAAATGAATGCATTAAGCATATCGCGACGTTGGAATTATCTTGTTCTATCTCCATATTTTGAAAAAATTGAGTTATTGATAGCATTGTGTACCTCAAATAAATGTCTTTCTACTCAATTGAAATCTAAGTTATTAGTAAAATGCGGTGAAATGTATGCCGCCTCCTAAAGTTTTTTTTAAATCGTATTATCTCAAAGCTAAAAAATATGGAAATATAACAAGATAATTCTAACGTCGTATATATCAACTTAATTTTTAACTTTTTTTTAAAAAGTTATTTTTAATCAATTTTGAAAATAATTTTTTCGTATTTTTAGAACAAAATTGCTATAAATAATTTTGATGTTTATTTAAAATAGAATTATGTAGCCATTTAAAAAAATGAAAAGATGTTGTTTTTGAAATTGACAATATTCAAATGTACTGTAACCCATTTTAGTTCCAGGATTTTTTCTGCAATATTCCCAAATAACTGTTTGAACTGCTATTGTCGACTCAAATGCTTTAAAAATTTGTGGTGACTAAAATAATAAGCATACTTCTGTCAAACTCTTTTTAACTAACATATTGATCTAAAATAAAAAAGCTAAAAAATTATATATCAGGTCAGTAAGACGTCACACGACTCAATACAATATCATCAATACGCTTCAAAAATTTGTTTTTCGACTAAAAAATCCAAACAAAAAAACAGTTTAGCAATCATTAGACTAGTTCATGGTGAAAATAAAAGGTTTTTCATAAAAACTGTAAAAAAAAGTGGATTTTTAAATTTATAAGATTTTCCTATAATTAGTCATTTCCAAAATAAAAATTTCAATTATATAGTTAATAATATGTATCTAATAATATGTAATATATATTAATGTATAACTTAATTATAATTTATTATTTATTTTACAACTAAATATGTAATTTATAATAATATTTTATAATATGTAATGTATATGTTTGTAATTATGCAGTTTGTAATATGAAATAATAAAATATTGTAAGATAAAAGAATTATTCCATTCTAACCATTGTAGCTTGTTGCTACAATGATTAGAATCATTGTAGCAACAAGCTACAATGATTCTAATCATTGTAGCTTGTTGCTGGCAAGGATGGAATAATTTTAGTGTAATAAGCTTCAAAACTGGATGAAATCCTAATTAGGTTATTTTTAATTTTATTTATTTTTTATTTTATTTATTTGAATTTCATGTTATATTTTGCTATGGAATGTTCTTATATCCAAAAAATCATAAAGAGTACCCCAAAGAAGCGTCCGTTATTGAGCAACATATTTGCGTACCATATTACTACTCATACGCTGAGTTGGCGGCGACTGGATTTGAACTCGTATTGCACAACAGTCCAGATTTTAACAATTTGTTTGACGCTCTAATCAACTGAACTATCCGGTCTAAGATTAACAAAGTTGGCAAGCATATTTAGTTTTCAGCGGTTAACATATTTTCAATAGTTTTTCTTTTGCAAAGTATACTTGACTTTGAAGTATATTTTGGATGGCCTTTGTCTAATGATCTCGAGCAGCTTTTTTAAGTAATGGAAAGTGTATGTACTCCTATATACTAATTACTGTATATACCAAGTGAATCTACTGCCTAAAATACAGTTGTCCCTTAAAAAAATTAAGTGATGCAGTAAGATTTTGTCTATGACAGAATGCACTTTTTCACTGGTCTCTATTTAGTTCTATTAATGTTTGTACTTTGTGTAATCAATCATGAATTTCTTGATTTATTGTTATAAATGTAATTAATATCAATATAATTAAACTAGATCTATTATTAATGCTAAAGTGTAAAATTTTATAATGAGTTAAAAATAATTGCGTATCATTACTTTTAAAAATATTAGAGTGCTAAAAAGGTTAATCTTATACCAATACATAGGGATTCAGGTGTCCTCTTCTACCACGTAGCCTTTTTCTATCACAACTTTTAGTCTTTCACTTCCGGTAACATTATGAAATTAAATCGTAAAAGCTAACCAACTATTTTTTGGACTTGTAAGCAAAAAGTCCGGCATGTGTTTAAAAATATCATGCATGGCCACTCAGTGACAAGTTAGCAGTCGCTGTACGGTATGTGGATAATGACTGTAATATCAGTGAAAGAGCTGTAGTGATTTACAAAATAACTGAAAAAACAAGAATGGATATTGTAAATTTTGTAATAGTTGTGTTACAACATTTTCTTTGTTGTCTACTTTTTTTTTTTTTTTATTCACTGATTTTACTCTCATTTGCACTATTTTATCCAATACCAACACGAACTCGTTCTCTCCTTCTTTCTGCTGTACAATATCCTCTGTTGAGTTCAATCAATTTATCGGAACACATGATTTCATAGTCTATTTCCTTACAACTACTTTCTTCAATTTCCTCGATTTTCCCTATAATCAAGATTCATTTTAGGACCTAAAAAATTATTGGATGAAGGTTTGGTGAAGGAGGATAGTTTATGTCATGAAAATAATCAGGGGTAGCTATGTGAGGATTTACAACCACTTGTATATATTCCTCTTAATATACCCAAGCCTAATCAGATTCACTTTTATTGGCAGTTCACTTTCATCGACTAATAATTCATCAAGATCCATATCATCACTCTTATCACAATAAATAATTTTAAAAATTTGTCCATATTTGAATAAATTCTTTTGTAAGGAGCCATTTTTAAAAACACTATTTCTTTTGAGCTAATAAGATGACAAACGGGTTATTTTCCGTATTTGTAAAAAAAACATTAGTTATATATAGCCAATGTTTTTTACAGGGTAAAACTCCCGCAACTTGTACTTGATTTAGCCAAGTATACTTTTCTTACATGTTTTAATGTAAGCTGCGAGGCCCTCACAGTGGTTCAAACCGTGTGCAAATTATACAACCGTAAACCATGTGCAAATAAAACCGCAAACTTTGTACAAAATACAAGTGTGACCCACACTGAGGGTCACAAGTAAAATTGGATGATCAGTTATAAACCTCTAATCGAATATCAGAGACTAAAAGGGTTAAAACATTTTGAAATATTTTGACTATAGTCTGTATCGGTTTGTGTCTGTTAATATTTACGATCTTCAAGTATATATTATCTATAAAAGTATTTGTAATTACTTTTTATTTTTATTTAAATATCTTGTTGTTTTCTTAATATTATAAACAAACTTTCTAATTTACAAGGTAAAATATTTAACACGTAGGGCTGATGGGAGCTTTGAAAAAATTAATTTGTGAAGTTTTTATGAATTTAAACTTAGTATAATTATATAATATTTTGTGAAAATAATATCTACGCTCATAACTGTCACTTGTATTTCCTGTAATTTTATACATATTGGACAATCTATATGATTGGTTTATTTTTGAGTTAAAATTGTAAAAACTTTGGTATAAAGT